GGCTAGTAACAGAAGTGAATCCAATTAGTTTAGTAGGCGAGACTGCGGATGAAGTAGAAGGAAGAAGGAAGGAAGAAGTTTGGAACTCGCGAAATTATAAGTGCACATAATTATATGTTCATGTATATTTGTAGTGCATTACGTATTATATGGCTGTAATTTACTTACTTTGTTGATGTATACCCCCTGGCTGTTAGGTGTAGTCTTTTGTATCTGCAGCAGATACTGGAAATTCTTTGGGTGAGAATTTCACGTGGGTGACTTAAGGTTAATTGTACCTTCGTTGGGTCCGCCTTCTACTCCCGTTTCTTGTGCGGTCTGCTGGTTTGTGCAGATGTTGACCAGCGATGGTTTACTGCAACTGGTGGTTGTTTAGGTGCCTTCACCTAGCACTGGTGCTTATCAAATATTGATGCGTCTAATTTTGGTTCCCATTCTCATTTAGCCATGCAGTTAACTGAATTTCTGCCTTCCTGTAATGGACCGTGCTGCTTATTTTCCTTTTTTTGCAGAAAGAGTTAACTCTGATGAGTCTGCCAATTACTTGCATTATTGTCTTAGCTAATTGGGAAAGGTTAGGTGTAACAGGTTTTAGTGTGAGTGTGGGTACGTAGTACTTGTTTTTGATGGTTACGAGCGGGATCATTTGTTGGAGTGTTTATCGCAAAGTATCGTGGATCTACTGCTACTGGTGAATGAGGGATATTGGATGTTGTTGGAGTGTGATACAGTAATTTGCATCAGAATCTGCGTGAATGTATTTAATGAAAGATAATTCTCACCGAGCAAGCGTTACCCTTCTTATTATTCTTCTAGGTCGTAGTATATTCTGGCAAATGCACTTTTGATTAGGTAGTTTACCTCCACTCTACGTCTTCTTATTGTCTTGCGGATTTGATAAAAGCCTTCTTCCTCCTTTCAAAATTTATGTTCTACTTTAGGTCTGGTGCGATTTTATGTCGGACAGTTTTGTCAATTTCGTCCGCTTGACTTATTTTGTTGGTGGAGAGTGGGCACAAAAGATACTCCCTTGTGTGAATCTGACT